GAGGCCGTTTTTGGTTGCACAGGGCATGGCTTTCAAAGGAACACCCATAATTTCTATAATTAAGGAGGTTAAATTTGAATATAAATGTTGACCTATTTGCAAATCAAGCCTAAGGCTAATATTGCAAGGGATACACAGATGTCATAACGTAAAAATGTAATAAACGTCTACTCATAGATCTATTTGATGTTTATACGTTTATTAATTTACAGGGGGGTTAGACTTTTTTTCTGGGAGGCAGTTATATTAACTTATAAACGACATACATTGTACAAGTACAATGTACTTGTAGAACTTGACTTGTCTAATTTTGTTTTCTTTTGGACTTTCAATAGAATTTGTCTTCACTTATTTTCATATCAATCAATAGTTCGTGCTTATAAACCTACAGTTCTCCTGCAGTCTCTTAGTGTCACTGACGAAAGGTAGTGGATGCTGCCTGAAACGTCTGACCGTTTCCAAAATCATATCCAGTTGCTTGAGGAAATGCTTTTTGTAGTGATAAGTGACGACATCGAATCATGATTAGAAAGACAACCCAAAAGAATTCAGAAGCTGACTGTTCGCCCTCCCCTTTTAATCTCAGTTTCATTACTTAGAGTACATGTACACGAGTAGAACCTCCTTGCTCTGAGGAGTCCAACCTTGTAGTTCATGTACATACATAAACTCCCACGCACCCCTAAATCCCACTAGTCCTTTTGCTTCTGAATGCCAAGGTCGTCTTGCTGCCAGATTTCAAACATAGGCAGGAGTATGGCTTTGTCAATGTTTTCTGTTCTGGTGGTACGAAGCATGACTACACTCCCCATGTGGCCATACCTAAAGCTCTAGGGTATCCTGAATAAGACTGTTACCTTACGCTTGAGGTTAGATTCTCACAGTATTTAAGTTTTTGCACCCAAAATAACTGCGTTAAGAGTTAGATGTTCAAAGGTTAGGTGTAAAAAGTTGTTCGGTGTAATGTAGCTAGCTGCCGCTGTGCCACGTGCCTGCAAAGCTGGTGTTATGCCGAAGGACAGTTATACTGGCTATACAGAATCTGATACAGATACAAATACAAACAGAAGTGCTCTTGCCTTATGAAAAAGAAGTCATAAAGGTTGAATAAATGACTGAACACTGTGAACAGACAGATTATGGTATAGCAAATTTTCATTTCTTCACATTTTCTTCTTTGGAATTGATTTTGGCATTCTACGACATTAGTGTTGTTTTCCGATTTTAAATTGTCAATTTTACATAGCATATATTTGCTTATAATGTAGCTGCTTTGTACGATTTACAGTATGGTCATCCTTTTTGTAAACAGGACAATTCGTGCGCGTACGGATGTCTAATCTATTCTACATGGCCAAAGGTGCACTCGCTATATATGCTTCAAGGACGCAGGCTTTAGTCATGTTACACAGATTTGTGCAACAGGACTGGTACAATTTAATGAGGGACCATTAAGTGCAAATGCTGTAAAATCAATCGTTAAATATTTGCTGTGTTATTATTTTTTTGTTTTTTTGTTCACAGTTTTCACGCTGACCTCTTAGGCTTGCATTGAGTTGTATAGTTGTTTCATTCGAGAACATTCTTAAAGACATAGCAAACTGTGCATTTTCATGGTGCCAGGGAAATTTAACTGTCGCAATCGTAAATGAATTTACAGTAAATGGTAAGGGCTTCACAACATGTAAGTCACAATGGGTGGTACGCCTGGTCAAGGTTTTTCTCGTCATTACTTCTATAGATGCTCGCAGTGACTTGTTACCAAGTTTCTATCCCATAGCAAGCCATAGGTCAGGCCCTGTGTGTTATTTTGGGCCGAGGATGGATAAAAATATCCACTCGAAATTTGGTGGGAATTTAGAGGGCTGGCATAGGTCCAGATACTGGCAATTAGCATTGGAATTGTCCCTTCAAATAGTGTATAGCTTTGATCTGAGGATAGCATGTATGTACATGTACATGTGCGTGACCCTGTTTAGATTGGATCCAGAATTCGGTAGCTTGTAGGTTTGATCTCAGTTCTTGGTAACTGGATTCTCAGGTACACAAATACTGTAAATCACTTTGTATGTATGTTCGCGGTAGCAAAAGTTCACAGTTTGAGAAAAATGGATATGTTCGCAGAACTACGCATTTGCAGTATCAGAAGGTGCAGCAAAAAAGGCAGTGAATTATTTATATTTCAAATTCACGGTAATGATAAATTCGTGGTACAGAACTGACCGCAAAAACTGCAAATATAAATGTGCCATGAAAAAAATCATGATTTACAGTAATTGTTACCGGGTAGTCCCTTACTATAGAACCACATGAAAATGAAATTCTATACATTTTGGCAATAAGAATTGTTCTTTTCCAAGAGAGCAAACTTGTAGTTTTGGGACAGGTGTACCACGTAAAAGTTACATCATCTAATTGATGTTTGTAGCCATGTTTTTCAGTGTCTGTCTCTCTTATGTAATGGAAACATTAAGGTCAGGTGTCATGGCCAATAACATAGTTAAGGTTCAGGGTTAGGGTCAAGGGTGATGCTTATATACATTTAAAAAGAAACATCAATTAGACCACTTTTGAAATAATTATTTATACCGGAAAGAATTATGTCTGTATTTATCTCTGATTGAAATATGGAATTTAGAAAGGTAAAAAAAAAAGATAGCATTTCTTGATATTTCAATGGCAAAGTCTGCTAATTCAGTCCATATTTGTATAATTCAATCTTCAGGCTTGTAGCCAGATTTTCTTCTAGGGAAGTCACAATAGATGTACGTACTACAATGGTTTTGGAATAGATTTCATGTGGTTTTGGCATAATACCAGCCATGACTAAGTCTATGGATCTGTGAATGAGTTTTGGGCCTTTGAAAGTGATCTTTGAAATCTGTGACAGGGGCTGGTTTTTTTCAGACCAGGCTTGGAGTAAGGAAAAGCCAATAAGTGGGTACCCAAGCGAAACCTTGGAGGTCAAAATGCTCCTGACCCTAACTGCTGCTGTTCTCAGCACAGCTGTGTTGACATCCAGAAACACCCCTCTTGTGACAAGACGTGGTATATCCCTAAGGATTATTCTACATGTAATAGGACCACGGTTGGACTGTACTATGAGACTGGAAAAAGGGGGAATGGTGTCAAAATAGAGAATAATGTCCTCACGGGCATGGTTCTTTGCATTTTTGGTCACGTATGGTGTAAAGTAACCAATTATGTCCATGTATCTGTGTTATTGGCGTCCCTCTAAGCTTGTTTACATCCGTGGCAAAACTCTAACACGGAATTTTTCTGTTTACGTTCGAATGTCCAGGCAATGTTTTGTTGGGGCTTAATCTGTTAGGGTGGAAATTTTTCCTTACATTGTTTTCATGACTGAAATCTTGTATCATTACAAGAAAACAAACATATTTAACATTGAAATACATGGATCTAACCATACAGCTGTGTTTTGCTGAATCTTAATGTGTTTCCGTTGTATTTCTTTTCTTGCATCAGTTTGTAGATTGAAATCTATCATTTCAAAGGAACAGATATGGCCACACCGATTTAATTTGTTGGTTCTCTGATTTGTTCATAAAAAATGTGAAGCGACAGGATGAAAAAAAACAACAGGTCTAGGCGTCTATGTGTCATATTACTCCAAATGCTATGATAGGAGCTATGAAGTCAACACAAAAGGTTGGGTAAATATTTGAATAATGAATTTTGAACTTTTAATCAAACCACTGCATTGATAGATGGATATTTAAATGAAAACACAAACAAATACACAACACACATTGAACAGTTCCCATGTACATTTGTATACAAGAGGACTTGAGTAGCCTTAGCACTGTAATGGTTTATTTAAAGACAGATGTCTTCAGGCTAGTTGATAAAAAAAATGCCCGTTAGTTACCCTGTAATCCGACCAAGGTTGAACTAATTAGGACTGGCATTAGAGTCCATCTGATAGTGGGAGATTCAAGGTCATTGGGCTTTTCATGGGGATTAAATCGTTTGGGACTTTTGTACATCCCAAGGCCATGTTAATTTGATTATATGGATGACATCCTCTGGGAACCCCAAAACTGATGCGAGCGTCTGAATGAAAAAAAGTTTGTAAAAAAAAAAGTTGCCTTGATTATGAAATCTACTTGATGTGGTCATGAAGGTTGAACAGAGTATGGTATGGCAAATAAAAGTGTCTTTATTTTCATTTTATTTAAGCAACTACATTAGTATCATGTAAAATACTACTGAAAGAAAAGAATTCTTGGAAAACATCCTGAAAATGCACTGAACGTCTTTGAATTCTTTGGGTGCACTAAAAGTACATGTATAACGTTTTTGGATTGATTTTCTGCTAATTTTTATCTACATGTAGTTGCAGTAACCCTAGGTTCCTCCAAGGAGGTTAAAAACTTGGTTCCTCATAGTATTACTTAGTTAGATGCTGTACATATTCCATTATCATTGATTGCAGTTTTCTAGTTACATTTGCATTTAGCTTAAAGTTCTACAAATTTGTACGTGTATGTTAAACAGATAGAGGATTCTAGTGACTTGCAAGAAAATTCTTTTTCAATGAACAATTTTCACTGGTATAGAACAAATGTCCATTCACACAATGTACATGGTGAACTAGTTAGGCAGAATTGCGAACTGCATGTAGTTAGGCAGTGGCACAGTAATGCTCAGCCAGGGTGTTCAGCATATACATGTACACCTTACCTGATGCCTAACTAAATGTAAATCTGCATTGTTCCTTAAACTGACCGTGAATCGAGTGAATTCTTATCTGTACAGTTGAACTTTCAACCTTCAGTATCTATTTTTTTTTTACTTCAAAATAGATACATGTATCCAGCTTGCAACATGCTATACAGAAATTCATGTATAGGGACAATGTGTTTTTTTTTAGGTTTATGTGATATAATCCTACCTCAGAATGAATTCTACCCATACAGATGAACCTTTTTCAAACTGGTCTTTTATATTGACATATGATGTCTTTTGTGTTTTTGCAGCTCTGCCCAAATTCACTGTGCAGCCATCCCCCACCCAAGCCGTGGTTGGTGGCGTCGCTCGCTTTCAGTGTTATACACAAAACGCAGTACCTCCAGCTTCTATCTCATGGGAGAAGGATCGGTTGCCTCTCCCACCTAGTGACAGGTAAGTACATGTACACATGTAGCCTTGAGTGAAGAAACTCATTTTTACACAACCAAGACTAGTGTTTTATTCACAGCCGACATTTTGGTGACCGTCTGTCATCTTCCTCAGGACAATGGTGCAGTACTGCAGTGCAATGAAAACCCTTGGTTGTGTAAAAAAGAGTCTCTTTAGTAATTAACTCATCAACTTACCAACCTGATGAAACTATTCACAGATACATGTAGCCTTACCATAGATCTTGGTGGGCAAGAGGTGCAGTTTTGTATGACTTTGCTAGGGGGCGCAATAGAATAGATGTACATGCAGCAGGTCCAAAGCTACATGAACAACACTTCAATGAAAGCCTTTTCCTTTATCTAGTAAAGATTGAAAGGTAATGAAAACAGTTGTTTTTTTAAAGGAGAGTATACGGTACATGTAATTTTTTAGTTATGAATTATTTCTTTGATTTGAGAACCCAGAAATTGGTGTGTTTTTGCTGTTTTATAATGCTGAAGACTGGAATCTTTTTTTTTTCTACCAGGTTCGTTCAACTTCCCTCAGGAGTTCTTCAAATCCACAAAGTGCAACAAAATGACACGGGTAGATACCGATGTGTGGCGTCCAACATGCTCAGAGAACGCCGAAGCCAACTTGCAGACCTCACTGTAACATCTGGTAAGAAGAACAATTAACAATATTAATATTATAACTGTATTGCATACATGTATGGCCTCAGTGCTGTCAAAATACTATTTTCTGCATATACATGTATGTAGTTCTGCACTGGTGCAAGGAACATTGAAAATAACCTGCACCAAACAAGATGGACATGTACCTGACACATGCTACATATACATAACATAACCCTACACCACAGGGTTGCTGCAGCACCAGTTACCATGGTGACAGGTGTCTGGTCCAGGTCATTGACCTTATTTGTTTTTACTAGAAGAAGAAGAAGTGGGAGGAACAGAGCAAAAACAATATCTATTTCCTCTGTAAACGTCTATAAACGTAAACATACATGTAAAAATTGAAATCCTTGTTTTTCAGCTCCAGTTGAGGAGCAGGAGCCACGCATAGAGACAAAGCCACTGAACCTGACAGTGCTGGCTCACCAGGACGTGTACATGGAGTGTGTGGCCACAGGGAACCCTGCACCCACCATGTCATGGAGCAGGAAGAGTCAGTATTTCTTTCTTTATTACCTTGGCCAAGAAGGTTATGTTTTCAGTAGCGTTTGTATGTGTGTGTGTATGTTTCTGTGTGGTTTAGCAAGATAACTCGAGAAGCAATCGATGGATTAGAATGAAACTGGGTAGGTGGGTAGGTCTTTATGAGACCTAAAAATTATTAGATTTTGGCCCCCCCTGGCGGCTTTCCTAGGTACTGCAGCAGAACTTCCGGTTTTGATATCTCGTGTTCTGGACATGCTAGGGTCAGAAATTTTTTTGTTTACTAAAATTTTCCACATGGCAAGTGTCATAGCTGGGCTGCAATAATGTTTGATGCGGGGGTTCTGACTGTGTGATAACTAGCAATATAGCCCCGGGGTTCTATTTGGTTATCACACGGGCTTCCAAAATGTTCCATAGAATTATTCAAACACCTTTTGCCTGAGCCACTTGGGTCGCTTTCAAAAATTCGAATACTGGATTCGGACGTTGGAATTGATGTTGATGCATTTTTTGTTTGGGGACACATTTTGCATGGGTATGACATAGATAAAATACAACATGATGTACTCCGCATCACCCTCGGTCCCGGCCCTACCACGGGTTTGGTCTCCCTCTAGCCTTCAGCCCTCTGGCGAAATGACCCGCGGTCGGGCTGGTACCTCGGGTGATCCGGAATACAAATTGTGTTGTATTCTATATACACAGCCTACATAGTTATACACTTGTCAATGTATTATCAACGTCATGTATGTTTCCCAACTCCACAAACTTGCCAAAGATATTCACTATGTAACTAATTCTTACCAACTGTTTGATGATTACAGATGGAAAAATTGGGTCGAATGGTGTACAGTTCATTAATGGCAACCTCAGGCTACAAGATGTCACTGTGGACAAGAGTGACACCTACGTTTGTTCAGCAAATAAACCACGCACCCGCATACGACAAACCGCCAACGCCACCTTGACAGTTGTCGGTAAGAACGGACGTTACGCTTCCACTTCTTTTTACACTCTTGGCACTTTTTGCATCCTTTTTTCACACTATAAAGTTATGCAGGATATACAGTCAAACCTGTACAAGTGGCCACCTCTACATACATGTATGTAAGAGATAAGAGATCCTGTATAGACGTAATATAGTGGTGTAGCACTTCGACAGATTTTGTGCAGTAAAGGTTTTCTTTCCCTTTCCTATAGCTTCATTCTAAAGTTAAATTTGCATTTTTTTTTGCAAGATTTCTGAAGGTTCTCCCCCCCCAAAAAACCCTATGTTGGTTGACAGACAGCATAGGGGGTCCAAATCACAGCATAGGGGGTCCAAATCACAGCATAGAGGGCCCCTATGCTCAAAGTCAAAAGGCCTGGCCAGAACACCGGATCTACTTGAATCCAATTTTTGTCGATTATTTGTTTGTTTGGGAAAATCTTAATTGCACAAAATCTTAATTGCACAAAATCTGTCGAACTGCTACATAACTATATTTATATATTATATGTCTAAACCTATGTAGTATACAGGATCTCTTCTCTCTTACATACATGTATGTAGAGGTACAGGTTTGACTGTGTATTGTCTTCACTTTATTTGCATATCATGCAACAGGTTGTACTTATAAACCTGCATTTCCCCTCTGTTCTCTCAGACACTGACGAAAGCTAGTGGATACTAGCTGAAACGTCTGACGTTTCCAAAATCATATCCAGTTGCTTGAGTAACTGCTTTTTGGCGTATCATATTACCTGAATATCTAACCTTCATCGACGTATTTGTTTGTTTATCACAGAGCCGCCCACCGTTGAGAAGGGTCCTGTTGATATGGACGACATTGTGACGGCTAAGACAGCGCGGCTGCCCTGTGAGATCAGAGGCACGCCGACGCCCACGATCGAGTGGCTCCATAACGGGGAGCAGGTCTACTGGAACGGGCGGATTGAAAAACACGAGAAGGAGCTGGTCATCACCTCGGTACAAAAATCTCTCATTTCAGGGCAAAATGTACTGTAAATCACTTAAATTTGGTCTGAAAAAATTTGGTCTGAAAAAATTTGAGCTATATGTTCACTGCGATGAAAGTTGTAGATACAAGAAAGATAAGTTTGCCTTACAGAAGTGACTGCAAAAACTGCAAACATAAAAGTACCGTGAAAAAATCTAGCCTGTAATGTTCGCAAAACTATACATTTGCTGTGGCAGTACATGTATGTGCAGCCAAAAGAAAGTCAGTAAATTATTTGTTCATGGTAACAATGTAAGTTTCCAGTACATAATGTGACTGCAAAAACCGCCAATATAAAAGTACCGTGAGACAATAATGATTTACAGTATATTTGGGAACGCCTTATGTAGCTTGTTTTTGGGTTAGTTCAAATGCTTCAAGTATACAACAATGATGAACATGTGCTACAAAATGGCAGTAAATGTCAATATCAGACAGATTTCCTCATCTAGAATATCTTTTGTCTTGCTGCCCTGAAATTGAATTGGAATTTGGATGCCTTCAACAGGTCCAAGATCAATATAGCAAAGTTCTTTTTATCACAACCATTTATTTTTCAAACGTTTCGATGACCTTCTGTCATCTTCATCAGGGCAATTCTGACTGGTTTACTGTACACTGACACTTGGTGGACGTTACTTGGTGCATAGTGCACTAAAGGTGTTACATATTTCACAGTGCACTTAAGCTTGTGTCAGTGCACAGTAAACCAGTCACAATTGCCCTGATGAAGATGAGAGAAGGTCATCGAAATGTCGGATTGAAAAATAAATGGTTGTGATAAAAAGAACTTTGCTATTCAGTCATTTACCAACCTGAGGAAATTATTTATGCAGGTCCAAGATCAAGTTTACGTTTTTTTCTGACACTATCGTGACGCTTCTTCTTACCTAGGTGGTGACCTCAGATGGTGGGATGTACCAGTGTGTCGGGTACAATGAATATGGGATGGTGTATGCATACGCCAGGCTCACCATAAAGGTGGAAAGTAAGTATACAGTTGTTTTTTTACCAGTTTAATTTCTTTTTAGCATCAGTGTACTTATAGATAGATGAAAAAACTTTATGCCATTTTAGTGCAGAAACAAATGGCTTAGGAATAGTGAAAGGGGAAACATTGTACTGCATTGTCAATCTTCTGTTTATGAGGTACCAGTATATTAGGATAAATCAAGCTTCTTCCCTATATAATGTCCTCGGTTAGATACACTATGAACACACTATCACTGTTGGTTTTTGTGCCACCATAACCAATTTGGTTGCCAAATGGCTAGTTGATGTTTGGGGGAAGGTTCTGAATGTGTGTCCGGGCTTAGAATTGCAGAAAAATAATTACTTAAACAGTACTAGTATCTTGATACTATGGAAACTTCATACAAAACTACAGTCTTAACCCTTGTCCTGCGGAGCACAACAATTGTTGTTCTGTACATACAGTACCATCTATATGGCACCCTGTATAGGTATGATTTGGGGGTATTTCTCGTGCAACGCATCACACCGCAGCGAAATGCAACGAATGCAGAAGTAACTATGAAACTGCAGGGCAGAAAAATGTGGGCGTCTATGATCTAATTAAGACATGAAATTATTGAAAAATATTGTGCCAGGAATGCCAGCAGGACAAGGGTTAAGATGACAATTTCTTTTGTTTGTTGTTAAGGTGACAGTCCAGACCCACCCCAAAACATCCAACTGATCACCAAGAGTTCCACCGAGATATTGGTGAGATGGACACCTTCTGTCAGCAAGTCTCCCATCATTGCCTACACTATCCACTACCTGCAGACAGAAGGTAAGAGCTCATTGGTTGATACTGAAGAAATGCTGATCACTGATTGGTTACTTAGTGAGGTATAAAAAATTTGTTACCAGCCAGAAGGTAAGAGCTGTCTTTTCATTGGCTGATACTGAAGAAAGTTGATCACTGATTGGTAAAACTTAGTGATGAATAAAAATTTGTTACCAGCTGGAAGGTAAGAGCTCCCTTTTCATTGGCTGATACTGAAGGAATGCTGATCACTGATTGGCTACTTAGTGATGAATAAAAATTTCTTACCAGCCGGATGGTAAGAGCTCCTTTTTCAGTGGCTAATCAAGTTACCCACTGTTTTTTTTTTAACATTTCGACTTGTTTCTGTAACAGGTAACAACAAGGAAGAGAAGAAGCCGGTGAATGTGTCTCAGACCGAATATCTGGTCACCGACCTGCTCCCTAACACCAACTACACATTCTACATGTCGGCTTATACCAAGGAGGCTGCCAGCAAGATGCATTCTCAACAAGTGGTGGCCAGGACAATGGAGGGAGGTGAGGGAGTGGAAGTATTGTTTTGGGCATTGCTGGTTTAGGGGGATGTTTGTATGTATATTGTCCCCAGCAGCAAGGATTAAACAATCTACCACTGTCCACCTTTAACTATATCTCGACTTAGTGGGTCCATACGTATATAGGTTTTACCTACTTAAAATCATGGGTGGTACTCAAGCATACATGTAGCTCCCTGTAAGGATACAATTTAGTATTGCAACCAAAGTAACAAGAAGAAATGACAGTAAAACTATATCATTGTAGACCAGTGTTCTAACCAGCCAAAATTTTTTGCTGTCATCTCAATTTTGTTTAATATCTTTACACACTGATTTTTGTCAAACATTTGCATTGGACAGCAAATTTCCGTCAAATGACAAAAAGACAGATGCTGGCTAGAACACTGTTGTAGACATGCAGCATGGAATCTCTAGGTTTAAAATGTGGTGCACACTTATGTACACATACATAACTGTTTTTTTTTGTGTTGACCGTCGCATACATCAACTAGTAAATACGGCGACACTGTTTAATGTTACTTGTTGCTATGTTGCTTTTACTTAAGTTGAATTTCTACTGTAAAGCTTGGTGTAATTAAGCTGTGGCTGCAAGGCCAATCCACTGTGTTTTAAGAATAAACCATGAACCAAAATGTCCTTACAGTTCCCAAGGCGGCTCCCACCTTGTCTCTGAGCAGCAGAAGTCCGTACTCCATCGACGTCGGCTGGCAGCCTCTCTCCCGCGAGGACAGTCAGGGGCAGATCATCAAGTATAAGGTGGAGTACAGGATGGAGAAGGACAAAGATCTGGAGGTAATTTCATTCATTCTGGTTTTTATTGAACTATCTAAAAGTTACATTATTGCAGAACAGGATTTTTTTACAGTGTAGGGTTCAGGTACAGAAGGGCAACTTTCGGAGTACAAGTCGCGCATTGAGTCCCAAAAACATGACCACAGTATGGGGTCCTGTATTCTTAAAAAAAAAAAAAATTGAAACTCATAACCCCCCCGAGACACTATTTCTTATTTATTAAGGGACAGGTTTTGTGAAGTTAAGGTTTTCCCTTTGCAATAGCTTCATTCTAAAGTTATATTTTGATTTTTTGCAAGATTTATGAAGGTTTTTCCAAAAAGACACCCCTATGCTGGTAGAAAAAAAAAAGAATTCGAAGTCCAAATCACAACACTTATGCTTAATCAAATAGCCTAGTGAGAACTATAGGCTAGTTGGTAATTTATGGTATATGGTAGAGAATAAAGCCATGACAATACTGTATTTTTTTGCATTGTAATTAAGGAATGTGATGTTTACACTTTTTGCTGTCCCTTTGTTGTCTAGCGGGCACAGGAGGTGCAGGGTTGGCTGACTCAGCACGAGATCAAAGGGCTCGAGCCTGACACCACGTACCAGGTCTGTGTTGCCGCGGCAACCAGGATTGGTTACGGCCCGTGCTCCCGCCACATCAGCCAGAAGACCATGAAGCAGAACGAACGTGAAGGTGAAAAATTTCGAAAATTTTGCCGATGTAATAATGTCTACAAACAACATAATTCCACCAGGTCACATGCTATAATTATGTTTACTGAAGTAAAACATTGTTTTTGCTCTGTTTCCTCTTCTTCTTCTCCAAACCAATAGGGTCAATGACCTGAACCAGATGTCTGTCTCCATGGTAACAGGTGTTAGGTTACATCATGTTGCAATTTTTTAGCAGGAGGGATTTAGACTCCTATCACCTATCAACTATAAGAAATGCAGCCTCTGAAATATTATTTTGTTCTTTCTGCATGTATAAGTTACTGTAACATATGATTTTGTATTCCTCAGTCTTGCGGGAGCCAGTGGTCACAGTGCTAGCGCTGAACTCCACTGCCATCCAGATCTATTGGGACATGCCTAGCCTGAGCCCGGATGAGAAGATTCTGGGCTACAAGCTGGAGTATACAGGGGAAGATGAGATACTCCATGGCCCCATCGCACTACCAAGCAACCTGAATAGCTTTCGACTTGGAAGCCTCAGTAAGTCAGGGCTCGAAATTAATTTTTTGGAAAATGTGCACTGGTGAGCCCAACCTAAAAAGCTAGGTGCACAAAAAATGTATGTAAAATAAAGCAGGATGTTAGTAAAACCTAATTACAAAATTACCTGCTTCTCTTCTGAGCTTGAATGTGAATTTTTCTGATGTCATGTTGCTATGTGATTTGAAAGACGAAGCAACAGTGAAAGACAATGACGTTTCAAAAAGCAATGAAAGACTAATACCTGTATGAACTGTTTCTATTTAGTACTGTTGTTGTAAGAGGTGTTTGCTTGGACTTGTCTTGACAGAATTTTGATGTTGTTGACATCTGATGATAATACTGAAGAGCAAATTGTTAATTACGAAATGTTGATTGGGTTTTCTTGTTTTGCTTTTAGTGCCTGACACTTCTTATGAAGTGAAGCTCTTTGCTTGGAATGAGAAAGGTGACAGCCCGCGGGCCACTCAGCTCATTAAGACCATGGAGTCCTCTGTACATGGTAGGTATACTTCCAACCTTGCATGTCCTTATTTGCTGTAACTTATTCCAAATCAATCTTTTATAATATTTGTCATCTTTTTAGAATAAAAAAGAATCTTAAAAAAACTTTTAAAAAAATTGATGAATGTGGGAAAGGCTTGAAAATCAGGCTCTGAAAATCCAAAATTTGCCCCCGGACCTCCTTAGATTGTGAACACTTTCCTCCCCAGGTTCGATCACGAACCTGGGTTGACGATAAAAAATTTTGAAAATTGTGGATTCTAAACAGTGATGTACATGTAACAACACCTCCCCCCGTCCACAGTGGTTCCACCCGTGCTGTCTCCGATGCCCCCGTCTAACGTCAAGCCCAGTGCTCTCAACGCGACCAGCGTGAACGTGACCTGGTCCAAGCCGCGGATGACCACGGTCGAGACCGTTTACTACACGGTCCGATTCAACCCTACCAACCTACAGAACGCCACCTTGGTGGAGTACATTCGCAGGTAAGCTGGAGATATTTTAGGGTAAATACCTTGTCCTGTTCAACTACAGATTCTTATAGGCCGAGGAAAAAACTGTAGTGTTTCCTGTTTCCCGACCGACACTGGAAAAAACTTCCGACCCTAGCCTTTTTTTGGGTGGACCCCTGCAAGGGAGAAAAATTTTTGGAGCTGATCGACCTTTTCTAGCTCCCTGATCAGACACCTGAGTGATGAAATAACAGAAAAAAATGGCTAGGGTCAGCAGTTTTTCTAGGGTCTGTCGGGAAACAGAAAACACATTTTTTTCCTAGGCCTAACTGGCATTAGACCTAAGGCTTATAAAATGTTGCATATGAAAGTGAGATGAACTTCTTTTCTGCTGGTCTTTAAAGGCACACTGTATACCTTTCGCTCTTAATCAAGTATACAGAATTACATATATAAAAATGTAGCTTGGCATTGATGAGGCCACACATGTACATACGTACATACATATGTATTGTACATCACATAATTCAATATTGGTTGTCTCAATATTTATGTTATTTCTTTCCCTCCTTGATGTGCATACAGCAACACCACCAGTTTGATTGTCAATGACCTGAAGCCCTATACCAGGTATGAGTTTGCTGTGAAGTCACACGGCAGACAGGGCACAGAGAGCAAGTACACTAATGCAGCCATCTGTCAGACAAAGGAGGGCAGTAAGTAGACATGCTTTGTGACTTATGAATAGCAGTGGATGTCTAGAGTGTTGTACTGCATTTTCCCATATTCTCCCATGATCTCCAATGTTCTCTTGTTTTCTCCCATGGTCAACGTGAGTATCACACATAATCCTAATTTGCATGCACTTAATTTGCATAAATGGGAGGTTAAAATGCTCCTGCCAAACTTTCTCTAAGTTTCTGTGAGATCTGTTCAATGACAGGCCGTCGGGCGTTTCGACCCGCAGTCGGGCCGATACCTCGGGCGATACGGAATACCCTGTGTTGTATTCTATATATATTGATGGGCAACCTAGTTTTTGGCTAAGGTTGCACACTGGGCAACCTGAGAAAAATAAGTATTTCAAACCCAGCAATGGTCTTACTTACAACTGGTACCTGTGTCGGTAGGTGTCACTGTTATAGATGCATTTTCAAACGTACAATATCTACATATCTACTGCATGTAAAATGCTGACCTTAAGATATTTTTCTTCAAGAACCTGGGCCCCCATCAGAGGTTGAAGTGAAGTTGCTGTCATCTGAATCTGGGGCGGCTGTGTTCGTCCAATGGGGGCCGCCCATGGAAACTAACGGTCAGCTCAAGGAGTTCATCATTCTCTACGTGCCGTCTGATTCGTCGCTGCCAGATGCGGACTGGTCTAGTGTTAAGACAACAGGTTGGTTTTGCTTTAGTTTTAACATTTGAAGGCAAACTCCAATCCAGAAGAGGGTATTATAATTCTACTTCTTTTATAGTGTAAACTGGCCTGATACCATCTGGAATGTGTATTGTGGGCTGTGTATTGTGGAATGTGTATTGTGGAGGGTGTATTGTGGAGTGTGTATTGTGGAGTGTGTATTGTGGAAGGTGTATTGTGGAGGGTGTATTGCAAGGACTGTTGAGATGGGTATAATTCCACCACATGCAGCCCTTCCTATCAATGGCTAACTAAGGGTTTCAAGGTTGATTGATACAAATGTTTGCACTACAGTCATGCTGAAACTTATTATAACTAAGTATATTATTGTCCTTTCACAGCTGATCAGAGGAGTGCTACTGTGAACAACTTGAAATACAGAACGGAGTACTTCTTCAAGATGAGGGCCAGCACCGAGGTTGGACCGGGGCCCGCGTCCGACCCGCAAAATGTCTTCACCCTCCCTCCGCTACCCGGGGAGAAAACCACGACTGGGGGCGGCATTGTCGACAGCGAAGGCACGCGGCCTGAGAAACGGGAGAGCATGGTGACGGGAATCGTGGTGGGGGTGGCCATCGCGGTGGTCTGCATCATGATTTGTGCCATCATTCTGCTCTGCAGAGACCCAGAGAGGTGAGTAGGATCTGTTTATGCTGCCGCAGTATAGGAGCGATCACATACATGCAAATTATTTGAAGACACATGGAAATTATTGGTAAGCAAATCAGCCAACTGTCACCTGCTTTTTGCCTACCACTTGCTGGCTGTGACATCATGGTGATCATGCACACGTATTAGCACTTTATATGTTGGTTCATGGTTTAAAGTTGTACATGTATAACGTTATACAAAGTATATTTTGGCAATTGACAGGGCAGATGTTTTGAATATGTTTTCTTCATATCCATGAGTGCTTACCTTCGTCCCATTTACATGAATAGTACAAGGCATTTGCAGGTGTACTAGCTTATTTGTACATGTACATCCTACAGTATAGTGAATATATCGGGTAGGAACAGGAGCATGTTTTTTTTTCCAATAAATTCTTTCCAAGTAATTTCAGCCCTGAAGACTTAGTAATTTCTTTCTTTGTAATGAAATGTAGGCGAGCCAGGTTGTGCTGTTTTGGAAGAGACCGCCATCCTCCTCATGGCACCAGGAACGACCACGGCCACCGGCGTAACGGGAACATCCCAAACGGTCATGTCCGTGGTCAGGACGATCTGTACGAACTTGACTGTTACACGCCGATGCTTACAGCCCTGCCACCCAATCCTGAGGTGGATGCAAAGGTACAATCACATGAGTTTTTTCCAAGAAAAATGTTTCCTACAAAAGTTTTTTCTGGAAAAAATTGTACAATGAGAGTTCCTTGAAAATTCCAAATCAAATGCAGCATTTACTGAGCGACCAGACCGTGAAGACAAATTATAGTGTTCGTATTATGGTGTCAATGCTGCACGTTTCAGTCAAATGTCATGTAAAATTGTGTTCATCATTCTATAGTTGATAAATGAAATTTAAAGTGTCAAGATGGAATGAAAAGGCTCTTTTTGTCTATCTTGCAACAGGTAGACTATCCATTGCAGGAAATACATGAATGATTGTTATATTGATATGTTTAATGTTTCCAGACAAACATGTTTTCAGGATCATAGTTTGATTGATTGATTGATTGTGATCCTCAGGGTCCGAGTGAGGAAGTGGAGAAGCGTCTGAACGGTCACGTCAACGGGATCGTCATCATGAACGGGAAGCTACTTGCCAACGGGAAGGTCATCTCCAAGCGCCCCGACCGCCCGGGTGGCAAGCCCAAACACCTCAACGGTCACACCAAGCCAGCCGGCGGCGGTCATCCCAAAACGCAAGTGCCAAAGATTGACCGTCAGGGTGACGAGGAGGCCTGGAACGGGACGCGGAATGGCGTGAACGGGATCATGATGTCCATTCCCATCCCGAAACACTCGTCCTTCCACGAGCCCAGCTACCTGGATCTAGACGATGGACCGGACCAGGACTGCCCATTGCAGACGCCCGACAGAGCGTGTATCGAGCTCGACATCCCCCTACATACGGGTATAGGTGATGACCAGGGGGACAGTGAGCAGGCACCCGAGGCGGTCGACTCAGGCCACCCTTCCTCCTACTCAAGTAGCCATGGTGACGAGGAAGACCCTCTCCAAGCAGACCCTCTCAACGGAGAGGACTCTTCCAACTCAGGTACGGAGGGGTTTTTCAGGCATTTTCGATGTCTTTCTGGTGGTCTGCTATGTGTGCAATACAAAAGTGTTTTATCTTTCCTATGATTGTTAAACTATGGACTGCTAGAAATACGTAGAAAATGCTGAAAGAAAACACTGAACAAACGTTATGAACCTGGGTTCTAATGGTGAAGCATGTTAGAATGATAGTGGACTTGGTTGTTTTGCCAGAGAGGGAACTGCTACCGGAGTAAGTCCACCACATTTTGCTGTGTCTAAGGGCTGTTAGCGTGAAACTTAGCATCTTTCACACCAATTAATTGAGTGTGAAACCTTGAGTGTCTGTGGACATTAATTTTGAAGATCAATTCAATTTGGAATTCCTGCAGCTTTGTACTTGCTGGCAGCTGACATCAAAATATTAACTGCACATACTATAAAGTTCACCATGTGATCATTAATCCATTATCTTCATCTCGTTGTTTGTAGATTATTGTGGTGTCCACTACTACTAATGCTGGATTAATGTACTGTGGTTTCAGGTCAACCAACTACCTCACCCCACTCAACACCTGAGGATGTTACAGTGACGACAGACGCTGGTTCAACTGACGATGTTTGGCAGCCCCGGACGCCGACCGACGGCAGGAACGACACTGACGACGTCCGGGTCTCCCCAAACTCCCCCTCCTCCCCATCCAACTCCCTCCAAAGCAAAGTACAGAGCTGGTCTCAGGGTCTACACACATCACAGGGGGACGGTGCGCCCCCCTCCCCACCACCCATCCCAGGGCAAACAGGGCAGCAAGGCAACCTCCCAGCACAGAGGCACAGACCATCCGTGTGGGACGAGCCCCGCAGCCACACACACGACAGGCCGGACGGGGAACCGGTTCACTCCAGTACCGAGCCGCGCAGGCAGGAGAAGCCCAACAGCGATGGGCAGCCTGTGCCGGCGGGGGCTGGGGACGGGCAGGCCTCGGGCCACAACTTGCCACATGAACTCAGTAAGAGTCCGGCACGCAGGGTACCTCTCACTCACGGGAACAGCCACAATGGGACTGACCGCCTCCACGGCATAGACTACGAAGTTTAACCTCTGGCAGAAAGCAAAAAGAAAGGCACCATGTCTCCAGGTTTCACCCTCGACTGCCAAGCAGGGCTCAGTATTATTCCACATGGCAAGGGTGTGGCACGCTGGCGGACGTACCCCCCCATATGTGTAACCTCTGAGTTTCTCACCTCTGACCTCTGAACTACAACCTTCAACCTCAAGTGAAATCCTATGCCAGGCATGGGTTAGCCGTCAAGATGCCAATATAACAAAAGACTCAAAGAACCAAAAAACTACCTCAGACTCAGGTGTACCATATATCCAGCATGACCTCTACCTCGTTGACAGCACGCCCCTTCCCATCAGCCTCAGTCACTGTCAGTAAGACGTCGCTACCTCAGGTAACCTGTTGTGTAATAGTACATCAGGTACAAGGTAAGGTGTACACGTACACTGTGGTCATGTGACCTGCTGTGTAATAGTGCAACCGGTACACGGTAACCTGTTGTATTGTAATATGTAGTAGGTGTATAATATAAACTACTGTTGTTGTAGTAGTTACTGAATTATCAATATGTTAAGGTAAGGTTTTAAAACAAAAAACATGTAGCATTATGTTATACCGTGGCAGCAGTTAAGCAGTTGTCATGCACATTTCCAGGGATACAGTGAACATCTGCACTCAAGATTGTAGCATAGAGTAAACTTGCACTGCGGCTTTGTCCATTTATGGTAACAAAGCCACGTCCGTTTATATTAAAACTGCTGTCTGCCTTTCGCTGTAAGAAATACATGAACCCGAACTTCCTAATGATTATTCAGCTGATGTTTCCATAAATTTAGATTTCAGTGGTTTTAACACTGAGTTGAAGAATAATGGAAGAAGAAACTTCTCTAAAATACATTTTTGTACTAAGGAAGAAACTGGAAGGTTCCATATTTCTCTCAGGGGGGCAGCAGCATACTCTTGTACAGATTGTAGTGGCCATGTTCTTATCCAAACTGGGAAAGCCAACCTCATGTAGTTTAATTACACCGTCCCGCATTTTTGTTACGTCTCCCATGCTCTTGGTGTTTTCTGTATACATGTGATTCGTCCCCAATATTCAAATTTTATGATACTATTTCAAGCTACAAATTTTAAAATTTCATGGCAAAACAGTGAAGTTGACCCAATCCGATGTAAAATATAGGTCAAGCATCGTCTTTGAAACATAATTTTAACATTTTGAAATATAGCTGATAGTTTTTATCAGTATTGTCATTGATGTCAGCAATATTATGAAAAATGGCATTTTGAAAATGATTGAAATTACAAATGATGAGAAAATTGTGTCTATATCTACACCAGCAAGAGTGTATGAAATAATGTCAAGAAAGAAAATGAAAAATTAGCAGAAAAATTAGGGAAATCAAACATGACTAAAACACACTGTACTTGCATGTTCCTGTTCAAATTCCTCCCTGTTAAATTATACTCTAAACAGTTGCAAAAACAAAACTTTTAATCTAGAAGTCAAACAACAAATACAAGACCTGATAGTACTAACCGGTCTATATTTGCCAATTCTTCATACAAAAACAGACACACATTTCTTTGGTTAGTTTGGAAGTCAGGTTGAAATGCCCACTTGTTGTAACTGCATATACTTACACGTATTCCTACCTTGCAGAACTATAGACGTACCCATAAAGCATTTGGTATATTCAGGTTAATGATTCTTCTCAGGGAGTTTTAGCTATACCAAATATGGAAGAAGAACATGTGCCATATTTGGACATTTCTAGACAGGGTCTTTTTCTTTTGCATGACCTGAATATGTCAGACCAAATATGGGCAAGGGGAAAGTTGACTTTTGACCTGACTTTATGAGAACTGGCTTCCCATTGGATAAGAACTTGAGATTATCACAGAATAATTTAACATAACACTATATGTATGGTGATGTCACAAAGGGTAGCGTT